CAGGACATGTGTGCAATGGTTATACATAGGGGTATGTAATGAGGTTATGTATATATATATATATATATAAAGGAGTGTGTGGGTGATGGTAGGTATATATATATATATCTCCGGAATGGGTTTGGATGAATATACCAGATATTAAATAGCCTGCAATTGTGAGAGTGGGGTTGTGTTCCTAATGTATGCTACCCAAAAATCAGTTAAGGTGGTCTGCCTGTGCGAGAGAGCAAAGGGTCTGTCTATCACCGTGCCTGTAAACCATGAATGTAGTGTGTACACAATAAGTTATGATGCACGCAATATGGTTGGGCATGAGTGAAACACTGGATGTACATAGCGCATATATATATATATATACCATACGTCACGAGAGTCAGTACATTTACCACCACGACGCATAGCACAGATGACTATGCATGACAGCATAGTAGACTATGATTCATACCACACACACGTCCGTACGTAAGCAACAAAGCCAAATCAACCCATCAACCAATGCACTATACCATTAGACTATACGCAATCAAGCCACCACTGCCCAGTAGAGCCCGCACGCTCCACCGATTTGTACACGCCAGTGGACCACGGATCCAGAGTGTACGCTCACATATCGATGTATAACGCACAAGGCGATGCTACACACTTACCCTGACCAGTCAGACGGTTGGGTCATATTATAGAGAAATTGATTTTAGGGTTTTGGAGTTTAGGATTTTAGGGGGTTTTAATCCTGCATAAAACCCTAAACCCTAAAACCCCGAAGGGCAAATGATTCCAGACTGCACGTTCACACATACCCTGCCAAGTCAGACAGTTGTGTCATAATGTACGCAAATCCGCCATTTTTTCTAAATAAGGTCCGCACGCTCGCCCGCGAGATCAGTAGGTGAGAAATGCTCTCCAATACATGCGTGGCCATATCACAGTCGGCCAGCAACTGCCTGCATGAGTCATCGATGAGTCACGTCAATGGAATGTATGAGTCATTGCATACACGAGTGATGAATGTTATTAAACCGATATATATATATATACATATATATATGGGCGGGCTACCGCTGAGCTATAAGTCATTGGTGAGTCATGTCAATGTAATGTATGGTCATCCGTACGTCATGTACGTTATATATAAAAACGGATGTACCTTATATTAATAATAAAAACGCATGTACCTTAAATATAAAAACGCATGCTTTATCGAAGAGTTGTGTATACTATACCTAGATACAGGGGGCCTTGGTGAGCCATAGATAATACAAGTGGATGCATGAGTCATCGATGAGTCATCGATGAGTCATGTTTTACGGCAATGAATGTTATAAAGTGTAATAGCCATTAGGTGCCTATATACCATAGACACATACATACATAGATAATATAATACTGATATAATGATTAATTATCTACAGTGTAAAATCTACCTGGCACATATTTCTGTATAAACATAGACACACACACACACACACACACATATATATATATATATATATATATATATATACATATATACATATATACATATATACATACACATACATAAACACTCTACCTGGCACTTCGTCTCCGCCTCTTTGCAGGCGAGCAGCCCCGTTTGCCACACACACTCAAGTCCAGCAACGACTTGAGTACGGCACCAGCTAAAAAGGTATCTCTCTGAATAAGACGTGCGCAGAATTGTAACGCGGCTTCACGTGTGTCTTCTACTTTCACCAGCTCTATTAGGCCAGGCATAAGCTGTTGGCCCTGGAAGTGTATGAGATTGTCTTCGTTGTAGCTGGCGAGTAGAGACAGCCCCTCCAGGACAATTGGGATCGCCTGTACTTTGGTGGCCACGGTCCGTACCTGACGGGTGCAAGGTGCAAAGGGTGAAGAGATGAATATATAGCTTATGATGGTTCTGTATAAAAACGTAAATATATATATATATATATATATATATATATATATATATATATACTACCTACAGACAGACATGCGATATAAATAGAAATAGAAATAGAAATAGAAATAGAAATAGAAATAGAAATAGAAATAGAAATAGAAATAGAAATAGAAATAGAAATAGAAATAGAAATAGAAATAGAAATAGAAATAGAAATAGAAATATATCTCTATATATAATGTAGGTACGTAGAGAAAGCTCGTTGAAATGCTTGAGTGATAATCCGAGGTTGCTCGTGTCGGAAGCGTATGTGACTGTCTTCATTGAGGTCGGGAAACCTCTTCGAAATTATCAGTATGGCCTACACTTTAGTGACGTCTAACATACAGGGTTAAAGAATCTAGGGATTAGGGTACAACAGTTCTGCAAGGATTGACTAGGGTGCTATTAAATCGGCCTTTTTGAATAGTATCATCACGTGACCATACCTCCAATGAACATTAATCCGTCAACTCCGATTTACAAAACCCTGAAACCCTACACCCTAAACCCTGGAACAATGCTCGCTACGTCCCAGGAGTTTGTGCCGGCGCTCTGTTGCCACATCCTCGTCTCGCATTGTAACCCAACGCTATCCCCAGGCGAACAACCACCACACTCTCCCGAAGTATCAAATATGTGGGACTCTAAACCCCAAAAAACCCAAACCCTCATACAATCAACCAAAGTACCGAACATTCCCAACCGCCACCTCAACGACATACACCCACGCACACACACACACACCCACGCCATCGACTACTGACCCATAAAGCCCCTCCAACCCCCCCTCTCTTCACGCGCATGATCCCCTTCATTGCAGTCCTATCTACAACCAGTATACATCCTCTCATATACCACACATACCTTAGATCAGTATACATGCACTCATCAACAACACATACCTTCAAGTATACATCCGCTCACATGCCACACATACCTTAGATCAGTATACATGCACTCATCAACAACACATACCTTCAAGTAGACATCCGCTCATATGCCACACATACCTTAGATCAGTACACATGCACTCATCAACAACACATACCTTCAAGTAGACATCCGCTCATATGCCACACATACCTTAGATCAGTATACATGCACTCATCAACAACACATACCTTCAAGTATACATCAACTCTTATACCGCACATACCCTAGATCAGTAGACATCCACTCATCAACAACACATACATTCAGGTAGACCTCCACTCATCAACAACACATACATTCAAGTAGACATCCACTCATCAACAACACATACATTCAAGTAGACATCCACTCATCAACAACACATACATTCAAGTATACATCCACTCTTATACCACACACACCTTCAACGAGTTTGAGCTAGCACTCTGCTGCACCACCACCTTCGCCGCCTCATCCTCGTCTTCACTCAGAGCTGAGTCTGCCCCAGACTCGTCTGACGAGTCGGTGTCTAGCAGACTCTTCTGTGTGTTGGGGTGTGAGTGTCCCTGTGCTCCGGTGCTTTCAGCTGTGTTTGTGCGTGCTACCCCCCCGGGCGGTTGGGTGGGCACATAACGCTTCATGAGCCGACAGAAGGCGTCTAATACGTTTACCTGTGTGCGTGTGCGTGTATGTATGTATGTATGTATGTTATGTATGTATGTATGTATGTATGTATGTATGTATGTATGTATGTATGTATGTATGTATGTACGTACGTACGTACGCATGTATGTATGTATGTATGTATGAATATATGTATGTATGTAAATATGTATACATGTATTATATATATATGTGTATATGTGTGTATAAACTTGAGGGTCAAAAGGGGTCCAGATGGTACTACAGGTACATCAATGTGATTGTAGAGATTTGGGAGAAGTTGGGATGAATGAGTTTGTGCAGGCCATCGCTCTAGCAGTTCGGTGGGCGGTAGTCGCTTTCTGAGACGGCAGAAGATGTTCAATACGTTCGCCTGTCTCTACGCGTGCATCAAGTAAGGGTTGAAAATGTGATGTGATGTATATGTGTTGTTATATGTGTATGTATGTGTTTTATACGGATTATATTTATATGTATATGCAAACAAATAAATATTATATATAAACATGTTTATAT